CAAGTCCAAAAAGAACTTTGACCATTGTTGTTGCATTTATAGCTCCGTAAAAACAAAAGCATCCCTTTGGACTCAGATTCCTGATTGGAGAGAAGACGGTCAGTTAATAGGCTCGTACACACCAGTTTTGATATTGAACTGTGCAGTATGGTCACTAAAGGGTCATGTAAAAATAAGAGTGTTCTACAGTTAATGGAAAACTGAGTTTCCCCTTTGGAAAGAAATTTCTGGATTTTTCCTTTAGTGCTGGAAAACATTACATCACCCAGCTATACAGCCTGATACATTCCTCGCATAACTTCACATATTAGTAATGACATCGGTTCAAGTTTAGGCGAGTGAACAAAAGAAGACTGGTTGTAAAAAGGCATTTGATATAAAACATTATTTTCTCTAGTCATTTGATCACTTTGCCTGAGTAAAGTAAGTTATTTTCTTAAATTAATATCACATTTCTATGGAATAAATCCTGTTTTGTCATAATAGAATTGTTGATAGATTTCTTGAAATAAAGCAAAATGGCATAGTCAAATGGATAAAATATTGGACTGAGATGCAGAAGATAAAGACTAACAATGAAACATAGCAGTGTGTGACCTAATTAAATGCACTTAACTCTTCTTTTTCTTTTTGTGTTGTGTAAATAGTACTAGTCACTTTCCCAAATTATAAGGTTTATATCGTAAAGTGCAGACAGAGGAAAAAATGCAAATTATTTCAGCTCTTTGGCAGAAAGTGCTGTAGCTTCTAGACTCAAACTGTATCTTAACATGTAGAGATGACTTTAATATTATCTTAGTATTGACTGAGCTAAACAAATGATTTTTATTGTTTTAGGGTAGGAAAAACCCCTGATTTCATGCATGTGAATATGAACTACATGGGATTTCACTTAAATTTTAAAATATCTTTGACTTTCTAGTATAAAGAAAGGGGAACTGTTAACTGAATATTCATATCAGGTTAACTACAACAGACATTGATACAAATAAGAATAAAAGAAAGGGGCTATAATGTATTTGATATATTCCTTTTTTATTAATTTGAAGAGATTTTTGTTAGCCAACATTGATTTTTTTATTGTTGTTAATAAACAAGAATTTTTGTTGTTTTGTTTTTTGTTTTTTTGTTTTTGTTTTTTAGCTGTGGAAAGAAAGAAAAACATTTGGGGATGTCTGGATGGAAGAGTGACTCTGATAAGTTATAGAAAGAGCAGACTCAGATTTTTCAGGACCAATGATAAGTAAGACTAATAAAAACTAAGAATATATCTATTACACACACACATACATCTATACACACACATTTATATAATATATATATCCTAAAGCAATATATGGATGGATGGTGATAAGATAGATACTATTTCACTTCCATTATGGCAGTTTATTGTGAAATGATAACTAGGAATCAGGATTACCAGATTTCATAACTCTACTACCTTAGGATACTCTCTTAGCCTTGCTGTCTTCGTTTCTGTGTGTATGTCCTCGGTAGCTCCATTAACTCACCTACTGCGTACTCTTCCACCAATCAGGATTTTTCTCTTTCTCTCCACTGAAGAACAGCTCTCTGGGTGGTTAATAATCTCTCCTGTTTCATCAAGGGAGCGTTTGTGATTATCAAATAAAGAATGTAATGGACATGATAGTTGATTTCTCAATTATCTATTTCATTCTGGACTATTGATCTGAGCCAATCATGATCATTTTTTTCTCCTTGCCAGTGATTGGTTCAGCAGTAGCCAATGCTGGGAAGCTTCTGAAGAAAACAAAAGAACAAAATTAACCCTTATTCTAAGAAGACGCCTCAGGAGGAAATGCTCTTTACCTGGATGTGATGTGTGGAACGGCCTCTAGCACACACAGCCATCCTGAGGCTGAAGTCAACTTAGAAGAGCTGGCCGATAGAGGGCGCCTGGGTGGCTCAGTCGGCTGAGCCTGTGACTCTTGATTTTGGCTCAGGTCATGATCTCAGGGTGGTGAGACAGAGCCCTGTGTTGGGCTCAGTGCTAGGTGTGGAGTCTGCTTGGGATGTTCTCTCCCTCTCCCTCTGCAACCCCCCATCCCTGCTCTCTCTCTCTTTCTCTCTCTCAAATAAATATATCTTAAAAAAAAAAAAAGAGCTGGCAGATGAAAAGTGCTTGAGATAGTGTGTATTTCATACTATCAGACAGTATAGGGAATTGCAAAAATATAGAAGCCACGATTCCCTCAAGAATCATACTGTCTGCATTCAGTCTAGTTGGTAATATATACACAGATATTAAAAAAAGCTATAATATAATTGCCAAACAGTATATTTATGTTTGTGTTCATTAGCATAAGATGAGACGATTGAGGCAAGATTTTAGGAGGGCAATCTTAAAGGACAGGCTGGGTTTAGATTAGTACAATGAGAAGTGGAAGTTACAGTATTCTGGGAAGGGGGATTTATTCTGAACCAGTGAATGGAGGAAGGACAAAATTTGGTTGAGTTACAAGGACTAGAAAGTGAGTTTGATTGACACAACTTACAGCGGTAGGGGAGGAAAGATTTTTTTCCCTTCTATCCTCAATAGCTAGGTCTATGAAGTAAATGACAACAAGAATTTTAACAGGAGAAAAAGTATACAAATTATTAATTTTTAATACCACATTCATGGGGGCATCAGAGCTAAAAAAAAAAAAAGTGACTACCTGAAGAGTGGTGAGATTTGAGAGCTTATATTATGTTCTTCATAGAGAAAGGGGAGGAGGATGTGTGCTTCTTAAGGGAGAATATGGGATTTTTAGGAAAGAGGAATGGGCCTTTAGAAGAATAGATGGGAGGTATGATAGTTTGTGACAAAGTTTTTTGGGTGCCCTCTCCTGTGATAAGAGTCAATCTTCTTTAGTTGATGAAACTCCCAGGGAGGGGATTTATGACAGTAAATTCCTTTTGGAGAATCTGTCTATAGGCAGATAGGAGTTCAGAGAAAGCCTCCCCTGCATTTGCTGTTTTTCAAGGGCTTTAGCTCAAAATAATCCATATTCCAAAGAGACATCTTCCACAGCTGGAAGAAAAAAATCAGTCTGGAAAGTTCTCTACTACTAAAATTAGTGTTAATTGTTTTTATGTTGTCTGGTCATTTCATTGCTTAGAAGGAATGTACTTGTAAAGGATTTTACATCAAGAGACACAATAATGCAGTCCTTAATTGATCCAATACAAATGTATTTTGTAATCAATCAATTCTATTTTCCTCCCCTGAATGAGAAACCTTTTGGATGGGTTTGAACACTAATTTGCATCCTAATATCCAATTTTCCCACATACCCTCATTCTCTTTAGAGTTTTCAATCTTTTGATAAGGGATGACAGTTGGCTCTAGGGAGGTTACAATTTCACCTGCAGTGAAATGGAAAATCTCATTACCAGTCCCCAAGTCCCTGCAGCTATGATATTGGCACTGATAAGGCCATGAAAAGCAATTTTAAAATAATATATATAATCTCCTGCACCTTTAGGAGGTTTAACTAACTGATTATCATGTTTTTCTTTAATATTTTGGACTCTGATATCTACTTGAAAAGATTGTATCAGTTTGTAGTATTTTTTGATTTTTTATAAACTTAATATCAGTCCCACCCCACCTCTAGGGGTTATATCTTATCAGCAGATTGTATGATAATTAACTCAGAACAGAATTGCCTGATAGGTAAGAGCTTGGATTTCAAAACAAAGCCATGCCCCTTACTTCTTTTGTTTTTTTTTTTTTTGCCTGTAAAAGCTTTAGTTTATTATAAGTCTGCTTACACTTTATTTTTTTAATTTTATTTTATTTTGTTAATCACCATACATTACATCATTAGTTTTTGATGTAGTGTTCCATGATTCACTGTTTGCGTATAACACTCAGTGCTCCATTCAATACAAGCCCTCCTTAATACCCATCACCAGGTTAACCCATCCCCCCACCCCCCTTACTTCTAAGTTTGCTTCGTATAAATTAATATCGTTTTTGAAATTGACACTTTCACCATATCAATACAGAATAGAATAGACAGGGCTAGATGCTCCAAGCATAATTTTAAACTTCCTTGTGATTGTCATGGATTTTTTTTTTTTTTTTGTACTGGGGGACAATGATTATATAAGACTTTATGGGTGGTAAAACAAACTGAAACAAACAGTAAACAACAAAGCATTTTTCATTGGATTCCAAGGAAGTGCATTTTTTGTTTGTGTTTTTAAGTGCTTTCAAATGATACCAATTTGGTCAAAATTAATTGTTCTAAGTTATTTAAAATAGAAAAATGTGGCAGTTTTTTCTCTTTTTGATAGTTGACAAGCAAACATATGTAGAAAAGAAAGCTGAAACTTGTAGCTCTGTATTTTCCTTATTTAATTGATCTGGTAATAGAGAAACTTCTTTTACCACTACTTCCTCCCTCTCCCCCCCACCATTCTCCCCAACATATTAAACTCAGTGAGGACATTCATTGGTTATTTCTTAGACAATACCATTTTATAAATGTCAGCATGATAGTTTTATGAATTGTTAGGCTATCTCTCTGGCCATATCCTCATAATTATAGTATTCACATACTCCTTTGCTTAGGCAGAAGGTTAATATACATTATTTAAAAACTATTTTTTGCTGTTTTTTTTCCCTTTTATCTCATTGTCTGCACTCCCTTTGTGCTTCTCTAGATTTTGATTGCAGATTACTTCTGAACAAGTAAGATGTTTGCTTAATTTAATTTAAAAGAAAGCAACAGGGAGTATTTAGGGCAGTGTTTCATGAATTTAGAAAATTAAGTGCTAAAATACTTTTTTTGTCTTTTATTTTTTATGACAACTAGCTTTTGGGCATCTGACAATGCCTGCTATTTTTATTTACTTCTATTTGGAAAAGCCTTGTGGTAGTTGTGAATTTGTCTCAAAAAGCATCTTTTCTCCATGGAAAATTACCCATTTCTATTGCTGGCTATTTCTAAATGCTTACCAGAGTTTTGTTTTGTTTTCTTCTCTTATAGCCAGCAGTCAGCAGAGGACCTTGCCCGAGTACCTGCCAACTCCACTAGCAATATCTTGAATAGGCTATTGGTCAGTTATGATCCCAGGATAAGACCAAATTTTAAAGGTTTGTTTCTTACCCCCCGCCCAAAATCTTCAATCTTTGCAGTTTAAAACTTAATTTTATGTGTTTAATCATTCAGTTGTGATATTCAAAACAATAAGGTTTCAAATTGGCATGCTACTGTCCTGTGATGTTGCTTAGACTTAGAGCAATTTAGTGACAAAGATACTCAAAGACAAGCAGAATATTAGTTCTTACTGTTTTATACGGTTCCCAGTTAAAAGAACAAAAATAAGTATATTGTTGATTAGACTAACCTCCGTCATGGGTTTATTAAGTACTTAGTATTGCTAACCTTAGTGATTTAAATTTCAAGCTCTGGACACGGATCTGGCTTTCATTCACAGAAACCGAAGTTATAATTTGTAGAATAGCCTATACTCGTTAGGGATAGACAATAGTTCTGATATGTATTTAGATTCTTTTAAAATTTTTGCTAGCATTTCACATTGATAAAAATTTCCCTCTACTCTTTTGCTGAAAAAAGATGGCCACATGGTTTTTAGAAACATGTTAACTTTGTGAATAAAAGCAACCGTGTTTTCTACAGCATAGATCGTTTCTACTCCAACAGAATATTACTATTTATCACACCTTTCAAGAACCAAAACCATACTTGCAATAAAAATCACGAGAAGATTATATAGCTGTGTGAACTTTCTTTCTTTCTTTTCTTCTTTTCTTTTCTTGTCCTCTTGATGAGTTAGGAAAAGCTATCTGAAAAAAGTCTCCTCTCGAAAACTGTAATCCTTATTGCTGGCTAAGGACAGGTATTAATGTAGATCAGATTAACATTGTAAGGCTTGATATTTTTTTCTTCTTCCTTTACAGAAAAAAAAAAAAATGTCTGCAGCTGTTTCTAGTCAACTGAAGTTATACAACTATGTTGTAAAAACAGGGTTTTTGTTCATTACCAGAACCTATTCAGTTACTTTCAACAACAGCCATGGTCTGGGTTGTCACATGTCTACCATATATTGATTCACCACCTGTTTTTCATCAGTCAGTGGTTCTGTGGCTAAAAGGCTAAATTCACGTTTTCCCTTTGTTAGCCCAACCAGCAGCCCACAACGAATAAAAAGAAAAAAGAAAAAAAAAAAAGCAAGCAAGCAAGAAATTTGCAACATTATACCTTAATTCTCACTCCATGAACTTTCAAATTATTTTCCAACAGGTCAGGCAAAAATCTTTATAATGATTCTGTTATATGTCTGATTGACTTTGCATATTCATGAATTAAAAATCAAAATATAGTCATTGTAAGTAAGACGTATTGAATACTGCTTTACTAATGAAAGTAAGATTTGAAATGATTATAAAAATGCAAAAAATTAAAACATTTAAAAAATGGTGTTTTTTTAAAGAATATTTTATGTTAATTTCTTAAGGTAAATGCATTAGCTCAATTTAAAATTTCTTTAAAGGTAGACATATTTACTCAGAGACTTAACAATTTAAGAAATAAATATTTCTGAATAAATAACATGAGTTAATACAACTTAACTCCTTTTTTATTTTTATTATAATCCCTTGCTTAGAAAAATAAGTCAATAGCAATTGTGAACATGGAATACTGAGACCATAGTTTTAAAGTTTTACATCCCATGTGGTTTGGAAAAAATATAAAATCAAGTCCATAAACCATAAAAATTTGAAAATTCTGACCAAGTTTTTTACAGCTACTAAATATATTCTTAATTTTTATTTGTAGGCATTCCTGTTGATGTAGTAGTCAACATTTTTATCAACAGTTTTGGATCTATTCAAGAGACAACAATGGTAAGATTACAGGCAGTTAAATATTTTTAATTATCAAAATTTTAACTAGAGGATAGTGAAAGTAATAGTAAAACTGAAAAATAAGGAGTAACTCTAAGGAAAAATGCATGCTTTCTTCTAGTATGAAATATCCAAATTCCAAGGTGTGTTACATCAGTGATTTCAGGGCTTATATAATTTTGCAATTCAAATGTAGCCTTAATGCTAATTAAAACTTACAGACTTGGAAGAATTAATATACTCACTCCGAACAACTAATTGGATACCACCTGGGAAAAGCATTTATGCAATGAATATTCTGGAGCAACGTTTATTTCCTAGTATGCTTATATGTATGAACATTAAAAAATATTTAAGTGTTCACAGTTTATTTTTCTTCTAGTTTCCTGAGGAGAATCTTTGTTTACTCTGTTGTGCTAATATTGTGATGTTTGGATCAGAGAATTGTAAAAGTCAAAGAGGAAGATTAATTTTTATAAGGCAACAGAGCTCCCTGAAAAAATTATGTAACAAGAGGAAAGGTCAAGGAAGGGCAAAAGAAGAGCGAGAAAGAGATAATGGGCGGGCTCCTGTCTTGAAAGGAACAGAAAAGAAGGGTTTGAAGGAGTGGCTGCTACCCATGATGAGTTGGACTGCAGGGACAAAGGCTGCTATAAAGTAGCAGTTGTGTTAGTAGGTTACTAATTAGTAGATTACATTAGCAGATTTTCTGAATGATGTGTGATGTAATTACCCCTCCGCTTCTTAAAAGGCATTCAATAAAGTCTACCTGCTGTTTGATGTTTTAGAATATTAGATTTTGTGCCCTTTTTGAAAAACCACATGCTAAAATGATACTTCAAGTGGGAGAAAGAAGGCCCAAGTTTTTTCTATTTTTTTTGAGATACTTATATTTTATTAATAATATACATCTTGGATTGAAAGACCAGGAATGGATAGAGCACAGTATAATTTTTCAGGGATGATCTCAGGCTAGAGAAAGAATGATTTAAAATATTTATTCCTTTATTCCTCATAGCAGCATAATGTGTTATAAAAGCAACTCTATATTGCATTTAATTTGTGACACCCATTTTTGTATCTAATTGCAATGAGAATGTTATTTATTTTTTGTAGAAGCATATATTTAGCCCCTGAATAACTGATTGTTTTCTTAGTGTGTAAATATTTTTAGAGAATTATTCAAAAGAAGATTTTGGAATCAAATTCGTTTATTTCCAGTGACTTTTTAGTTCACCTAAATGATAGAAACAGAGTACAGATCACTAGAAGACAGCTACAGAATAAGATACGGACTACCGTATAGCACTTAGGAGACAAGTGTAACACTCGTTAACAGAAAATGTGGTTAGTCTAGCTAAGCACTTCACTTTGTAAGAATAAGAGATGTCCTTTTCTCAAGGTGAAATTTTAAGGGAATCCATTTTGTCTCTATACTCTTCTCTGTGCCCTCTTTTGTCTTTCATGGCATCATTACCCTAATCCTAAATCATCCCTGAAATATGTTCTGGCCTGTTGGAAACATTCCAATTCTATCTTGCATTTTGGGACAGCTAATGCAAGGATATTTTTTCTCATTTGCATAAAGACTACACATGTGTCCAGCTCAGTAGGTATCATTAATGTATCTCTTCTTTAATAATCATTCATTGAATGCCTTCCAAATGTCAGACACTTAAACTTCTGCAGGCCCTATCAGTAGTTACTTGATGACACTGGGTTGAAAACACCTGCGGGAAAGGTATGCTAGAAAAGGGAGATGAATTTTCTTACAGATTATTTGGGGATTATAATAAAATATTGCATATTTATAACATATTCTCATATTGTCCTCCTTCAGGGATTCATCATAGTAGCTAGCCGGACTACTTATTGCTGGGACCAGATTCAACCGATTCTCATCAGGGAGTCTTTGTCCCTGCTATTTATCCCCGCTTTTCATCTCTTATCTTCTAATCAGAGCCTTTTCTGGCTGCTCTGACTCACTTTGTGCCTTCTTTTCAATCCAGGTCTTTCATCTCTATCACTTGTTGCTTAAATCTGATAGCTTCTTTACTGTAATTAAACTATTTTTGTGTGTTTTTCTCTTATTCTCTAATGGAGTGTAAACATTTTAAAATCAGGAATAATGTATCCCACTTCTTCATTTTCCATTTGTTCTTTATTACCTGATATAAACACTGGTCAGGAATACTGGTGATGGACTCAATAGAGTAATTTCAAGGGTATACATGTATGGAGAAGATGAGAGGATATTTCTTTTTTTCTTCCAATCACCCAGGGTGGGTGTCCTTTATTATTATTATTTTTTAGCTTTATTGAGGTATAATTGACAAAATTGTAAGAAATTTAAAATGTACATGATGATTTGATACATGTCTACATTGTGAAAGGAGTCCCCTCATCAAGTTAATGAACACATCCATCACCTCACATATTAATCTTATTTAAAAAAAATTTTGGTGAGAACATTTAAGTTCTACTCTCTTAGCAAATTTCAGTTATACCAACAGTGTTATCAGCTATAGTCACCATGTTATACATTAGATCCTGACTTTATTCAGACCTTATTCACCTTATTCATCTTATAACTGAAAGTTTGTATTTTTCTACCAACCTCTCCCTATTTCCCACACCCCCAAGCCTCTGACAACCAGTTTTCTACTGTTTCTATGCTCTCCATGCTCATCCATGCTGTTGTAAATGACAGAATTTCCTTTTTTTTCAGTGAGTAATATTCCATTATATATATATGTATATCCATTATACACACACACACACCACATTTTCTTGATCCATTCATTCACTGATGGACACTTAAGTTGTTTCCGAACTTTGGCTATTGGAATAATGTTGCAGTGAATATGGGAATGCAGATATCTCTGCAAGATTGTAGTTTTGATTCTGTTGGATATATATACCCAGAAGTGCGATTACTGAATCACATGGTTGTTCTATGTTTAATTTCTTGAGGAACCTCCATACTGTTTTCCACAGTGGCTATACCAGTTTATTTTCCCATCGGCAGTGTACAATGGTTCCCTTTACTCCACATCCTTGTTGGTATTTGTTATCTCTCTCATTGATTGATTGATTGATTCGTTCATTTATTCTGCTAATAACCCGAGAGCATATTTCTTAAAAACAAAGAAAACAAAAAAGTCCCTGGAAACAAGAGGTTGGGAAAACAGAGAGTATTAGATTTGTCTAAGTACAGGATATATGTTCAGGGAAACAATATGGTGGCCAGTGTGTAAGTTGCAATGTTAGACCGGCTTGTGCTTGAATCTGTTGTGTACCTCATGTGCTATACCCTGACAAAGAGTGAATAAATTACAAAAATAAAGCAAAAATATTTTGCCTGGCATAGTAGCTCTCAGTGATGTGATTCTTGGGTTGTTATGCATTTTCAAATTCATTCAGTATTTCACAATAGAATCTCATCCCAAAGAAAATGCTAAAGAAAATGAACCATTTATGAGTTTGTTAGTAACACCATTGTACAGTTGTGGTTTTGTTTATTAATAGCCCCCTAGAAATCTCCCCTACAAAGATCTGCTGAAATAAAGGAAGTTGTAAAGTCTGGGAAGCTTTAATATTACCCCAAACTTTTCTCTCCCATTCAGACCTTTCTACTTCAACTAGCAGTTGCTTATTCCAGAAGGCATAATGCAGGACGCAGAGCTCGGAGGGGTGACTGTGACTTCAGTAGCTGCTAGTCAGGTGGTGGACAGATATAGGGCAGCTTCTGAAAAGGGGAGGGAGCCCATTCCTTTTTTCCAACAGATAATGTTGATTATCAAAGAAGCAATCAAGGTTATAGGCATTCACATTGTTGTTAGGAAATTTGAGCCAATTCCATTTGGGAACCATTGCTTCATGCTTATTTGTTTTTTAATTCAGTTGCTAACTGTTGGTGACTAAATTAAAAGTAATCTCACATTTATTCAGAAGCCATAATTGTGTAGTGAAGGAAAAATTATAGCCATATTAATATTCCTTAAAATCTTCCACACTTCCATGGTTATATGCCCCTTCAGCTTGTTTCATGATCTCATTTTATAACTTTATAATTCCTTTTTCTCATATCTGTGTGTTTATTTGTATTCCACTACCTTACATTTTTGTAAGGTATCATTATAAATACTATACGTGGTATTTACTGACTTTAATAGTAACATCACCAAAATTGTCAAATAAATGTAATCATCCTAATTTGAAGTTCTAGTTTTATCAGTTTATATGTTACTGCCTGTGGCAACTGAAACAAGAGTATTCAGAACAATGAAAAGAATGGTTTTTTAGAGGCCAGGTGGTGTCTGCTCTGTGGTTATGTCTATAATATTTGTTGATTTTTCCATTCAGTTCTTACCTTTGGCTTAAATCACTGGGATTTTCATAATTGAAAATGTGAACTATTGCACTTGTGGGGGAAAAAATTGGGTAGTATGGTTTATTATAATAATCTCTACACAGAAACTTCATCTCATCAGAAATACATAAGAGCTATTTAATGGAAATGGGAGACTGTTTATATAATCCATATTCTTTCTTTGGTTTAGGCATGCTTCATAATTATATTGAATTATTATTATACTATAATTCATGATCCCATCAGACTTTCTATGCCTTTCTGCTGCATGGCTTATTATTTGTCTTAATAGACTTCAGTTCTTTTTGAGCAACCCAGTGTGCCTATCAGGAAAAAAAAGTCACATTCGGCATCTGCTAAAAGAGCTGAATTCTAGTTCTTGGCAATTATTTATCTTTGTTGTTTTAAAAACAATTTCATCTATTTCCCTTTATATAGACTTACATTTCTTTCCTTAAAACTTGTCTAAGTTTACTATTCCTTTTTTCTTGTTGCTTTTATTATTAACTTTCCAGCATTATTTCATTGTAGAATAATATTAGACATGTTTGTCCCCATTTTTTTTCTATTTTATGTCTTAGATACACAAACCTTCAAAAGGTTTTTATATTTATTTTTTCTCATATGA